CGGGGATGCGCGGCGGCCGGCAGCTGCGCCCCAGGTAGGAGCGCCGCCCCCTCTGGAGCCCCGCCGCGCATCGCCCGGGACCGCGGCCGCCCGCTCTACCGTGTGGTCCCCTAGGATGGGGAGCGCGGCGCGGCTCTGCGCTGGGGAAGCAGAGCGCCGGTGAAGCCTCCCTGCGTTCGCCCGCCGCGGCCATGGCCGGCCCCGGCGCGTGGAAGCGCCTGCGGTCGCTGCTGCGGAAGGACGATGCGCCGCTGTTTCTGAATGACACCAGCGCCTTCGACTTCTCGGACGAGGCGGGGGACGAGGGGCTGTCTCGCTTCAACAAACTTCGCGTGGTGGTGGCGGACGACGACTCGGAGAGCCCGGAGAGGCCTGCGAACGGGGCGCACCCGACGCTCCAGGCCGACGATGACTCCTTACTGGACCAGGACTTACCTTTAACCAACAGTCAGCTGAGTCTAAAGATGGACCCCTGTGACAACTGCAGTCGACGGCGGGAGTCGCTGAAGCAGAGGAAGGTGAAGACCAGGCTGGTCATCGCGGCCGTGCTTTACCTGTTCTTCATGATCGGAGAGCTCGTGGGTGAGTGGCGCGGGCCCCCCTCTCTGCTGTCTGCTGCGGAGTCTGCGTCCGCTCGAGTGACACTTAAGTGGAGGTTGAAACTTTGTTTTAAGGAAGTTTGTTAGGTATCGGGATAGAGTCCCGGGCTAGGAAAAGGCCGGAGGATTCCAAAGTGCAGTCACCGGGAGTACCGCGCGGGCGTCCCGAGATAGCCAGCCTTTATCTTGCCCTTCCTCCAGCACTATGTCATCTACTGGAAGTTAGTTCAGGGCTCTCTTGATTGTAGATCGTGGAACTTCTCTTTGTGCAAATTCTAAGGGAACGCAGCTTTGATTTTTGCAATCTCTAAAATAATTCGAACATTGCTCAGAATGCTTGAGTTTTACAGTAGGACAGGTCCCTGAACGCCGACGCCACCCTTTCCACACAGAGGGGTTCTGAAAAGTTTAACTTGGGAGACTGCCCTGTTGGGTGATGGGAGAGCCAGCTCCAAGTGCCAGACTTTTCTTTCTCTGTACAGTTGGCGTATTTAGTCTTCCTAGGCCATTCCCATTTTGAGAGGTTTACACATTTAGTACTGCTAACCAATGTGAAAGTTTTGCATTGTAAGGGGAGTCTGACATGAGCCAGGGGGCTTCCCTCCAGTTGATGAGGTTGCCTTTCTTTGTCATTGTTCGATTATTGCAAGTAATAAGTCTCACTGTAAATGAATTCTCAGTTTAAGGATTATTTTTAGTATCACATTAGTACCTGGTCGTTCCTCCATATCAAGGTGGATGGGTTCCAGGACGCCTGTAGGATCTCCGTGTGCCTCGTAGAAAGATGCCTTATGTAAAGTGCCCTTATATAAAATGATGCAGTTATTTGCATATAACCTACATATACATCCTTCTGTAGTTTGGATCATTTGTAAATTACTTTTACTGCAAAATACTATTTAAATAGTTGTTCTGTACTGTTTTGGATTGGTGACCAAAAAAAAGTCTGTACATGGTGAGTACATGCAGTGTTCCTTTTTCATGTTTCCCATTCATGATTGATGGGATCAAGGGATGTAGTACTTGTAGACAGAGTGGAAGAGAGGACTAACTGCCAACATCACTTGGTGACAGTTCAGAAAGTGGCATTGACTGGGGGAGATGGTTCTCCCACATTGGCTCCTGTGATGAACATGGCGAGGAGAGAACTGCAGCCCCGGTTTTAAATGCTTGGCTGGAGCTGTATGTAGAAAAAGCATATTGTGCTTTCATATTCATCCTTGGTGTTAACTCAGCTATGGTGGCTGTCTTACTTAAGTCTCCCCGCCCCAGCTCGTTCCTGCCCGTAAGGTTTTCATATTAGTTGATCCCTCAGTGATTTTCACACTTTTGTTGGCTTCACTGTAGTAGGAAATACACTTAACACTGCGACTTCTGTACACATGCAAACTTAGGTGTGTATGTATACATGTACCTATACATACACAAGTATTAATATATGCATGACAAACTGTATGAAGCATTTGAATTTTTTAGTTATGTCCTTGCCCACTTGTGTGTCCGATCTTTAGATGCATGGCCTTTTTCCAAATCTTCCCTTGGCTAGTTTCTTGTCAGTCATGTCTCATTTCAAGAGGCATCTCTGCCGGTGGCACATGCCTTTGACTCCAAGCACTCGGGAGGCAGAGGCAGGAGGATCTCTGTGAGTTCAAGGCTGTCCTGGTCTACATAGTGAGTTCCAGACCAGCTGGGGCTGCAAGGGAGACCCTGACTCAAAAAGACTCCCCCCTCCCCCCAAAAATAAACAAAAACAAAAGGGGTATCTCCGAAAGGCTTTGACTCTGGAAAATAAACCACTGTCATCCTCTTTTCTTTCTTCAACTTACAACTCTTTTTATGTCTTGTTTAATATGTCTTCCTTTGCTGAAATACAAGAGAATCCCTAACACCTAAAACAGCAAATGACTCAAATTAGACATAGTAAATAAACTTTTGTTGAATTATTTTTTTAATTTAAAAAATTTTAATTCTTTGACAATTGCATGCATGTTTATAATGAGGTGTAGTTGTTTTTCACCTCTATTACCTCCTCATCCCTTTTCCCTCTCCCATTGAAACCATTCTTCCCTACAAGACCCGCTCGCTGACTTCAGTTAGGACTGCTTACATGAGCATTGGTGGGATCTGAGTTACTGGAGCATGGGCATCTCTACTGAAGAAAGTGACACTCCCTCTCTCCAGAAACCATTACCATCAGTAGTCCCTCAGAGAGAGGTGCAGCCCCATGAGTCCCTCCCTCTTCCTGGGTGAAATGTGGACAGGCCCAATCTTGTAGCAGGTCCTGTTCAGGCAACCACAGCTACACTGAGTCCACAAGTACAACAGCCATGTTATGCCCAGAAAGATACCTTTCTGGGGCACACCTCCCTATCCTCCAGCTCTTAACATTCTTTCCACTCTTCTTCCACTTTTCCCCTGAGCCTTGGAAGGGGGTGATATGTGTCCCATTTAGGCCCAAGCATTCTGAATTAATTTTTTTGTTAGAGAACTATAAATACTTAAACTACAAAGAAATTCAAAGAAGGGGGAAGCTGTGGTCAGAGCATAATCTCAGCAGACTAACTTGCTCAAATTCATACAACTAGAGTAATGATCATTCAGACTTAGTGGTTTTTGAAGTTAATATTTGATATTTGAAGTTGGTCACATTAATTACAATTTACAATTCCCCCCCTTAAAATTAAGTTGGACTTAAGTAAAAATACATAATTGGCCCAACTTCTAATTTCCAAAATCTTTTATTTGGTAGTGTTTTTTGAAAGCCAGAGCAAGTATTTCAAATACTAACTTTATATCAAAATATAGAAGTTTTTGTTAAATAACACAGAGATGATAGTGCTTAGGATAGGCATTATCAGCAGTGTTCAGAATGTTCTCTAAAATTAGATTGTATATAATAGAGCTCTTATTAAAGTGTGTCCAGAGCACTTAGAAATAAATCATCTTATGTAGTAACTATGAGCTAATACAAATCAGAGTAATTTAACGGTTTTAAAGAGGAGACTTGGTGCTGGAGAGATGGCTCAGTGGTTAAGAGCACTGCTGCTCTTGCAGAGGACCCGGGTTCGATTCCCAGCACCAACATGACAGCTAACAACCATCCAAATGTCAGTTCCAGGGGATCTGATGCCCTCTTTTGACCTCCACAACAGGGGTGCACTTACACACATGCAGGCAATACACTCATACATATAAAATAAAAATAATAAATAAAATATTTTAAAAATAGATAAATAGGAGACTTGATTTTTAATCGTGGTTTTGCTACATTGGACAAGGACCATTCTTTTCTTACTTTTTGAGTACCTACATGTTTATTTGCATGCCCTATGCTACATATTCTAGATACATAATAGAGAACAAAATTCTTGTTACTATCTCAAGTATCTGATCTAATGGAGGAGACAAACATTAAATGAATAGCCATATGATTAAATTTTTAAATTCAAATTGTCTTAAGTTCTATGAAGAAAAACAACAGAATACTATAAGAAATATTAACTAGTGGGACATAATCTATGCACAGGACAGGTACATTTAAAGTCAATTATTTGTATATATATATGTGTGTGTGTGTGTGTGTGTGTGTGTGTGTGTGCAAAAGTCCCAAAGTCTTCTTTTTTTAAAAAAAAAAAGGTAATTTTATTTTGATTGATTGATTTTTTAATTTTATTTATTTATTTATGTATATGAGTATGTTGCCTGCATGTAGGTAGGTGCACCCATGTCATGCAATGCCGATGTAGGTTAGAAGAGGGCATCAGATCCCTTGGAACTGGAATTATAGCTGGTTGTTAGGTGCCATGTGGGTGCTGGGAATCAAACCTGGGTCCTCTGCAAGAGCATCCAGCGCTCTTAACCACTGAGCTATCTTTCCAGTCCCCTATTTATTTATTTATTTTTTATGTGTCATGAGTGTTGTGCCTACATGTGTGTGAATGTACCTGTGTCATGCGGTGACCTGGGAGGACAGAAGAGGTCACTTCTAAGGTTGGATCCCTTAGAATTGGAGTTACAGATGATTGTTAGCCTTCATGTGGCTGCTGGGATTCAAACCTGGGGCTTCTGTAAGAACAACCAGTACTTTTAACCGCTGAGCCATCTCTCCAGTTCCCAGGCCTTCAGTTCTTTAAAGAATTGAAAAGAAGACTAGTATGACTAGAATATACTAGGTATGAGGTAAGGAGGCCAGAGGACCACATAAACAAGTCCTGATAGACCACTCTGAATGATTACAGTTTTTATTCTAAGTGTCATGGAAAGCTAGTGAAGGGTTTTAAGTAGAGGAGTGACTTTTTTAAAGATTACCCTGGATGTTCTGTGAAGAAAGGGTGGGGGGGATGTAAGCATGGGAGCAAGAAAATTACAGAGGTCCTGACAAGTAACAGCTGTAACTTAGGCCAGAATAGATGTAGACAAGTGTACTGATTAAGAAACAGTCTAGAGGGAACAGTAACAAACTCATGATTTAGATATGGGGTTGAGGAGAGAGCAGATCAAGAAGGATCATGAGCTTCTCAATGGAGCACAGTTAGATACGTAGGAAGGCATAGTCTATGAAGTGGGAAGAGAAGGCAGAGAAGGATTGGGGCATGGACCCAGATTGCTTTAGACAGGTGTATGTGCGTGTACATGCAGAATAGTCAAGTGGAAATGTCCAGTGGGGATATAATGAGTCTATGGTTTAGAAGGCAAGCTAATACTTTTTGTGGTACAAGAGGAATAGGCAAAATTACCCACAGAGCTCAACTTCAGCTTTATAAAGTCAAGCAAAAGCAAACAGGCTTCCCACAATCCAAGAGAATAAAGTACATTAGTCTCCTCGACCATCTTTGACTTCTTCTGTAGTTTTGTTTGCTGCACTTTTAATGAATTACAGCCAACCATGTCCAAAATATTTAAATGGAAAGTTGAAGAACTAAGTAATCCATACCTTTTCACTTGCTCACTGTTCTAAGTAGTGTGATGAAATCTCATGGTCCTGCTCCATCCTGCCCAGGATGTGAATCATTCCTTTGTCTAATATAGCTACATGTAACTTTTATTATGGTGTATTGTTATGTTTTTTATTGTTAGTTATTGTGTTTGTCTCCTACTGTGCCTAACTAATCATCTAAGCTTTATCATAGGTTTGTATGTGTATGAAATAGTAGTACATACAGGACTTGGTGCTACCTACGATTCCAGATATCTATTGGGGGATTGTGTAATACATACCTCAAGGATAATATATACATATATATAGTTATTTTTATTTTATGTGTATGAATGTTTTGCCTTCATGTCTGTATGTGCACTAGATGTGTGCCTGGTGCTCACAGAGGCCATAAGAGCCCATCAGACTTCTGGAACTAGAGTCACAGACAGTTGTTAGTGCTGCCATGTGGGTGCTGGGAACTGAATCCAGGTTCTCTGCAAGAGCAGTGAGTGTTCTTAACTGCTGCACTATCTCTCCAGCCGTAAGTTAAGAGGCCTTATTAGATGAGAACTAAGATATCCTTAGGGATAATAGAGTTACTTTTATAATTATTTTTTATTGGGAATAAAAGCATAAAGATGAACAGATAGACTTTTAGGTAAAGATGGTTAAGTTGGACTCATATATTTAATTTTGCCTTACCCCAAAGTATCTCTTAAACTGTATTAAAGGAATTACACTGGGGATCAGAGGGGAGGTTAAATCCATACAGATAGGGAAAACTAGAGAGGAGAAAATAGCAAAAATTTTGGAAACTGGAAAGGAAACAGGTCCAAAGGTAACCGGCTTAATGTACTCAAGAAAGCCAACACCTTGGCCCCTAGTAAGAAAAGCTGAGACCAACCCAACTTATACAACTGTGATGGTTCTCAAGCTCTGCTGTGCTTCAGAATCATGTAGAGAACGTGTTAAAAGTGAGTTCTAGCCTCCTGTCCACAGGTTCTAGTTAGGTACGTTTGGTAGACCTGAGCATCTGCATTTTTCACAGAACCCAGTGGTTGCTGATACTGCCCATATGGCAGTCACGTTGAGAACTTACTGCACTAAGAATCCTGAGCAGCCCAGACTGGGTTGTGCCAGGTACCTCTAGAAGTATGTGTATGTGAAGGAGGTGGAAATAAAGAAAACTACTAAAAACCTGTTTAAAGAACCACTTATAATTATATAATTAGTATCTTCAGAGATAAGATCATGTATCCAAAAAAGAACAGATTCTAAAAAAAAAAATTCAGGGTAAAAGAAAAAAAAAACTCTTAGATAATAAAAAACTTAGTGAAGCTTAAA